CATTATTCTGACATTCATTTTAGTAACAAAATCACTATTTGTTTGTAGTTCTAATTATAGATTTGCTAGAGGATATATCTTCACCATAATGGGTGACACTCTCTTTGAATATTGATATAATGTAAATTAAAAGAATGAGGAATCAGCAAATAAAATTCAGTTAATTATAGCAACTCGGCTAAAGTAGCAGTATCTGAGGTAGTATGGTATTGATAAACTAAAATGCTAAATTACTCTCAGCATAAAATCGAATAAAACAAGGGTTCTAACATGTCAGCGATGATATATACATTATTTTTGGAATAAAGGTTAACTGCCTAACTCTATCAGAAATAATGATAAATGATGATAAAAATAAAATAGGTAAAAAACAATAAATGTTTGTTTCAAGTTGTAGTGGTAGGTTTACCAAAGAATAGAAAAATAAGCTCCAGTAGAACAAGAACACATAGCGACCAAGACACTGCATTCCTAGAACTCTTCATAAGGACGCTAATTTGAAATGTTGTTGGCTAAGCTAATTTTTAACTATCATAAGACACTCCAGGGACAACACAAATTATTAGAAAGTTCAACAAGTTTTTCGCAAATGTAAAGCAAAAAAATTGCTTCAACTCAAAGTGTCTAAATTAAGAAGAATTCGCATAACCAATAAAAAGGAGCAGAACATTCTGCGAATTAATAGCTTGGTAACCAATGTTTTAGAAGTGTAAGGATAGTTTTAATTGACAAAGCATGTGTGACATATTTGTTGAAGCAAATAAGACAAGCTTAATTGTGTAAGCGAGAGCTAATTTCACCATTAATCATCAGTTGAAGGAGTATCAACGTTGTACAATGGCAAGGTAATATCTATACAAGAGTATTGGGTATCAAAAAAAATTCAAGAGATTATAAAATGGATCAAGATTGTGAGAAAAAAATGTTTATTCTACCTTGATTATAAAATGAAGAGTGCGATTATCACAATTTTTTTTACCTTAAATAAATTATAAAAATAGAAATTTATTCATATGTCTCTTCCTAATATCTATTGAACTGAACAAATATTATCATTTAAATACTCATCAACTTCTCTTCATACATAAAGGATTTTTACCAATAAGGATTTATAATTTTTAATTATGAAATATCAATAGAGCAAAACATTAAATATTCAATCCTATGTTTATATTTAGGATTCTGAACTCGCAGTCAGATCCAGCAGCTATATTTTCCACCAAATAAAAAAGATTAGCTTCTATAATCTAATGTTTTAGCCCTTCTTCTGTAAATATTGAGAAAATAGCATTTTTTAACAGATTATGAAAAATTTTTAAATGATTATGGGTGTATAATAAATTAAAGATAAACAAGTCCTTATATATATGATTCTAAAATATCCATAGGTGTAACTTTATAAGCAATTAATTTGATAAAATAAATTAGTAAAGATATGTATTTAATCAAATCTCAAAAGTTACCATTGCTTTTTGACGCATAGCCTATATTATTTTATTAAAGAGAGAAGATTTTGAATAAATATTTCCCTATTACTAAGATTAACTCAAGTGAAGGCACAAACTCAAAGTCTATTATCTGACATTAAGATAGAGATTGTAACACAATACATCAACCAGAATCTTAAGAGGTGCCATAAGAATAATCAGAGATTTAAAACAATAACTGAACCTGCCATCTAATACATTTAGACAGGTTTAGGGTTGTGTCAAATTCATATAAATAGGACATGAATCACAGGTTTCGATAATCCATTAACGCAAACCATGAATAAATTGTTCAAAAAGAACTGAGAGTATCGATAAGGTTTGCTGCAGTATTTATTGAAACCATGGTTCAGGCTATATGAATTTAATTAAACGAAACTATTTGATTTTTTTGTTTAATCATTCCAAGGGCTAATTATCCAATAGCTTTGAGTTCCACTGCTTATTATAATGCTAATGAATAGAATCGAATCTGTTGTTAAAAGAATTAATAACCTATACTTTTTTTTTTCAGACATGACTTAAATTGGTAGCCTTCGCGTAAAGGTCTTCCTCTTGGATCCAGGATTCGTTGCCTTCGTGCATCACAAGTTAAGATGGCTATTTTAGGGTTTGACTGCAAAAACCAAACCTATTTGCAAAAAGCTTAAAATTCTTTATCCAATCACATCCTATCATATGTTTAATAATCATTAGTGTTCTAAAAAAGGAATATTAATTGCAACAATTTCAAACAGTTCAATATGTAGGATTCAAATTAAATTTAACCCAAGGAATATGAATTTAGACAGATTATATTAGCTTATTGTATGACAAATCTCCTTTAAAGCCACAATTAATAAAATACGATCTTTATGATAAATTTTTATAAAATGTCATTATCAACTTAAAAATCATTTTAAATAATTAATTGAAATACGGAACAGTTTCTTGTTTTTATTATTCAAAGATTTCTATTCCCAATTATTAAATGATCTTAAGCACACTAGAAAAAACAGATTCATTAACTAATTCATTGCTAATGGTATAATGAGATCGATCAATATCAATAATTTAAGTTTTAAATGTTGAGTTAATCTTATGATGAATCTTAGGATTTAATTAGAGCAGAAGCGAAACAATAATTTAAATAGAGAAGACCTAGTGCCATGTTGTCAAATAAGCACCCAAAATAAATAAAATTTCATCCTGACATCTCATTTCAGCGTGTAGTTAAAGACCTCTCCAAAACATCAGCACCGTCATCATGCAATAAACAATGACTGACTTTTCCACAAAATTTGATCTAATTTTCTTGAAACATTCAGTGTAAGGATCTCTTACAAATAAGAGTAAAAAGAGGAGATTCTTCCAAAATAGTCATCAAGATTAGCAGCTATGATTTAATCAAAGTAAACTTCTGCTTTCAGTAAACAAGCTTTCTTTCCCAGTATGTTATATGTCCCCTTATTGAAGCTTCTTGACCTTCTATTGTAACAGGTCATAAATTTAAAATTATTGAAAATCCTAATTAAATATAAAGATCACTTTTCTGATTGAATGAGTGAGTGATAATATAAATATGTGGTATTATTTTAATATTCATATTGCTGATATATGTTATTCAATTCATCATCACAGCACCTTTTTTGGGTAATTGAAATTTCGTGAATTCAAAAGTTCCAAGTCTTACATAGTATTTTATTTCCCGCAAATGGTTTAAAAAACAACATATTTATTGACTATATTACAAAATATATTTACTTTTTTGATTCTTAAAAGTAAGTTCTCTCATCTTTTTGAAATTTCTTTATATTCTATCTTACTTCTATTTCCATTAATCTAGTTTGTCACTTAATTTCCAAATTAGTTTTTATTGTGATGATGATTTTCTTAAGATTTCTACTAAGACTTGAACCAGCTATTCCTTATATTTCCTATAATAAATAGCGAAAATATTTGAAATTATAGGATAACTTAATCTTAAGAAGAGAAATACTATAAGCATTTATACAATTTTCGCAATAGCATCCTCTTCTTCCTATTCGCAAATGTATTTAATAGATGCTAAGAAAATTGCTATCGAACAACATTATCCAGTTTACAAATCCAATTTGTTTAATTTTTCATAAATGTACGGTTGATATAATGATGTGATTACTTAATAAACTATCAAGCAAATCCCTATTAAGATTCCCTTTAAGAGTATATTTGTTTCAAAATAAATCAATATGATAATAATAATTGTTTTCTTCCACAACTTCATCCATTCCCAATAAAAGCAATTAATTCTATATTCATTAAATAAGTAACTAAAATGTCTTCTCAATGAGATTTTATTTAATATTCCTCTTTTGATGTACAAAAAGCAAAGTAAAGAAATTGGTAAAATTAAGCCAATCAGTGATAACAATGGTATTGAAAATTTATATATCCATTACTAATGATTATCTGAATCAAATAAAAGCGATACATCTCCTTAAACATAATTAATAGATGAGATTTATCTTTTAGCTAAAATTGAAGAAAGCCTTATAATAATATTAATATTATACTGATTAATTAGTGAAGCATAGTTCTATATATACCCATAAAGTAAGGTAATTGAAAGTATGTTGTCATTAAACTTGACCTTTTTAACAATAAAAAAAATATTGACTCCAAATTAAATAATTAAAATTAAAAAAATTATTAAAGTAAGCATGACTATTACTCGAGTATATATCAATTCAAGGGAAAATTATTAAGTTAGTTAACAGTCTAAATTTCGAGACATAAAATAAGATGTATCATTCATTGTGTTAATAAAGATGAATGAAAAGGAGAATTAAATGTTGAATGTAAAAATTAGAGAAAATATCCAAGTGTAATTTAAATAAAGTTTCAATAAGATGCTCTCTTGATCTAAAAGAAAATCTTAATATTTACCTAAATTCAACTTAAACAGTAAATCAGGAAACTTTTTGGAAAGGGCAAGTGATGTAAATAATTAATTTGTTTTTTCTACACTTCTTAGTGTTATAAGAGTTGAAAAAATAGTCCTAAAATTAATTAATTTAGTACCAAATTCCGATAAAAATGAAAGATAAAATATTAATTGAAGCTTAATTACAACTTATGCATGAAAAATTTTCATTGTTTTTGAAATAATATCCATCTCCTCTTATGTTATGTTTATCGCATTCCTCACATATTGCTCCCATATATCCAGTATTGCATAGATCATCCCCTACAATCCAACCGCCTTAGCAGGATTATAACTTTTTAAAACAAATTACCGCTAAATCAGATTCAAAGTGAGGTCTCCAATACCCAGGTTTTAATTTAATGTTATTAGAAGTAATTTCATCAAATTTGATCTTATCAAAAATAGAGCATTTAGAAGTATTGTAGGTGACAGAATAAAAGCCTTATAATGATTAACAAACTGAACAACCATTTTAGACATAAAATTCTCCTAATTAACAAAATAAGCTTTTTGTTTTTATATTATACAATAATTCTTAAGTCTAGTATTAAGTTTTGCAATATAATTAGATTACATGCTCTTCTTCATTTTATCTATATGGATCCTAAGTAAAAATTAATGTTCCCAAATTGAAATTATTTTTTGTTTAATCAAAATAAATTAATGAGATATTGGTTTGATTTACGGTTTTGGTATTAACTTGAATTGTTGATTGTACAATTTAACAAGTTGAATTGGAAAAATTTAGTAATTATTCATTGAATCTATTTTTAAATTAAATCGACACCTCGGTTAAATATGTAATAAAATTTTAATTCTTTAGATTGTATATTGTATATTTGATCATCTCTTAATTGCTAGGTATCATCAATATCTATGTGATCATTGGTTTACCTTACTGGAGTATTTTATATGGGTATAAATTTAATGAACTTATTGGTATTGAGTTGATTGTTTTAAATTCTGAAGGCAAGGTTTAATAATTGATTGATAGATCTAAATGAGAAGGCAATTCTTGCAGGTTATTGGTCGATAAATAAGCGTTATTAAGAATTAAAAGAGAACCATAAAAGTTATTTTTGCTTAAAATGCTATTTCCATTTAAATAGATTCCCCCACCTTCCCTTGCACTATTATTTTAAATAAGAGCTGATTTTATCACAAACTCATTGCTACTTAAATCAAAAAATAATCCACCTCCATATGAACTGGCAACATTATTCATAATCCTTATATTTTACAAGAAAGTTTTCACATTTATTGAAGTGATGGCAATTCCTTGAGTACCTGAGTTGTTTATGAATAGAGAATTATAAACATGCAACTTTCCCTGTGTTAATTATTCAGATCTGGCAAAGAGACAACCAGAAGTATTGAATAATGTTTCCAAAACATAAGAATTCATCAATCATTATCCTATTAAAGTCGCTCACATAAATATTTATTAAGCCATTGTTGCAGCCTCTGCAATCATTATTCATGAAGAATATATTCTTAAACTAGAATTATGTTTGGCTATTCTAGCATTTCAATTACAAAATTGAGCCATTTTATGTCAATAATTCCTTTAGCTTCTCAAAATTATAACATTCTGTCTAAATTGACTCTGCCATAATATGCTGTCATAAAGGATTAAACTAATTGCAAAGTTTATATTCAAATTCTAAATTTGGATAAATTAGTTGAATACAATTCAGGTCTTTGCTATTTAGCAATACTAAGTTCTGCGTTGTTAAGTTTTAGACTTAAATAATGGATAGGAATTATATATTTTGTTCAATATGAAGCAAGGTAAATGAGTAAAATGTTATAATTTTATAAAAAAGAATATTCTTCAATTAAATTTTCTAGCAGTTTATAAATTGGAATATAGAAGAGAGAACAACACCTTCAATTACAATATTATTCATTTATAATTTGCATCCTGCAATATTAAAAATAGCATTGCCTTCTGTAATTTTTGTTAATATTGTTGAATCTAAGTGCACAAGTTATTGGCTGAAATCTATTAATGCTTCATAACTTTATTAGATAAGAATGTTTTATATTGTAACTATATTTAAATGAGCCTTATCAGAGCTAAATGTTAAAGATGAAAATAAATTTATCAAAGAGAAACAATTTAGTACTTTTACATTTTTAATGAAGATAATATTAGTAAATTTTGAAGTTGATATAGAGAGGAGGGCTGGTGCAAAATTATTATGAATGTAGGAAAAGGTAAAATTCGTTAATTTCAAATTTAAATCGCTCAATTTTGAATTAATGCTGATTGATCCATCTTATTCTGAATTTGAAAGCAAATTGTTTTATGTATAAGCTATATTGCAACTATTCAGTCTGATAATTCCAGTTCCTTAAGTAATTATATCAAAAACAGAACTACTTTCTGCAATAAGGTATTAAAATAATCCATCCTCTAAGGTGAACTTGTCAACTATGATTTACATTACTCCACCTTTGTTATTTATACCTAGAGTTTTTGTAATTATATAATTGATTTCTAATTAATTTAGGTTACTTTGCAACTTAATGTTGTAATAGGTATTCCAGAATTCCTTTCTCAAATAATTGTGATGAAAAACCCTAATTGCCTTTATTTATGTAGCATTTGATTTAATAACAATAAAGGTATTTGAAGAATTTGTAAGTGAATTCTCAAAGCACTAAATATTCTAAGGGGTTATGGTACTATATAGCGAGCTTATAAATAGTAAACTAGCAGAACTCTATGAGGCATCTGGAATATATTAATTATAAGAATTATTTTGGTATAAAAAATTGTCCAGTTTGATTTATTGTGTTTTTTCCGAATATATTGAGAAAATTGAAAAAATTAAACCTTTACTGATTTTCAACAAGATGTTTCCTATAAAAGTAACATTTTATATTAAAATGCTTTCCTATTCACCTTTAAGGATTATTGGGTTTGAGAGAATTTCTATAACAGATTAATCAATTGTAATCTAATTCACAAGCTTTATGAAACCTAAATATAGGCTCTGAAATCCTTAAACTAATAATAATTATGAATACTATTATTTATAAATCACGCACTCTTAAAAAAGTGGAATCATATATTCTTAACGTTGATTTTAAACAGTAACATTCTTTATATTAATTTCAGTGATGTTATATAAGTAAATGTAACGAAGATTGAAAGTATTTATTATCAAAACATTCTATATCAAAATATTAGGACTAGTGAGTTTAAATAAGTGATTTTGGATGACGGTTTAAGGATTAATATTTTCCTTGAATGTCATATTTTTTAATACTATATAAATTAGTTAAAGTATTTAATCAACAACAAGCACTTAAAAGTTTTCGAAAATATTGGAAGATAAAGAAATTTCGTCAATATCTATTTTAAATTAATAGGAATTTTAGAATAGCTAAGCAAACAAAATTGACTCAATAATTACATTAGATCTCAAGCTAAAATTAAAGCATGAGAGATCAGTACTAAAACTTATCAGTTGTGAATTTGTAATTTAGTTCTCAATATACTCAAACGAATAGAGAAATAAGTTATCGTAACTCTATATAAATTAAGAATTAAACAATATTGATTTTTTAATTATTATTGATTTAATAATTATAGAAGATTAATATTCTCCATCTTATTAAAAAATAAAAAGTGAGGAATTTTAAAATTAGCATTATTCTATAAAAACGTCTTGGATTATTATTCTTTTTTAATCAGTTTTTAATTTGAACAAAATTGTGTTATTAAAAATACAATTTTTAAAGTATATCTATTCTATCAGAACATCACTATTCTGTGAAAATGAATTTATTCCAAATATAATAGAATTTTCAATTTTAGCATCAAAAATGGAGACATTATGCATATTTAAACACATTTAGTTATCCATTTATATCTTTAGATCTATTGGTCCAACTTATTTGGACAAAAAAGTAGTGTTCAATATTTTGTAGTCTATTGGTTATCCTCTATTTTGAAATTCAAGGAAGAACCTATCATACACTGGCACTAATAGATTATAAATTTCAACTTAATCAAAGTGGTCAATTTAATATGAAGGAATATGTAATGGAATTAGCTCTCCCGTCAAT